CCAACTTAGGCCTCCAAGGCACGTCCCACTGCACCTGCGCAGAGTGGACCGGGGCTGTCACCCCCTGCCAAGGAATCCAGCCACCTCTCAACAGCCCTGAGACTGGTGTTCTGGAGAAGGTGATCAGTGCTAACCCCCCAAAGTTCAGTACTAAAACCAGGTTAAACATAACTTGAAAGGATCTGACCAGTGACTGTAGGTAGAAGCCATTTCCCCTGGGAACCCAGAAGAGCTGAAGCCAACAGGACATCATCCAGCTCAGAGAAGCTCATAATTCCAGGCAGATGTTTTAACTTGGAAAGGCCACTTCCCACTTCCTTTCCATTTTCTTGGTCTCTCCTGTGTTTCGTTGCCACTCTCAGTCTACTCATATTTCCAGCGTCTCCCCCGTTTTCTCCTTCCCCTTGAATCTAATATTATCTATTTTACTGTTTAATTGGTTTCCTTTCCTCAGACATTTGTTTTTATCATCCTCCTTGCACTCCCTCACCCACCCGCCTTCCAAATCCCTTGCTGTTGGCGCCTGCACGCTGAACCACCTCCTCTGGCCCCAATTCTCGTTCTTCTGCCCCAGAGTTTATGAGAAGAGAGAAGAGAAACCATCCGTGTTCCTTCCTCCTAGGCGTGGGGCAAGTGTTCGGTTGCAGCATCACCAGACCCCTCCCCACTCCTCCAAAGTTGTCCAGAAGATGCTTCATCCCTCCCGGATTTTCTGATCATCCACTGAGATGTTTATTTATTCAGAAATTTGCCCAGGCTGGGCTGGCACTGTCAGGGCTGAGGAGAGAGCCGTGGGCCAGGCAGAGGTGGCCCTGCTCCACTGCAGACATTAGACAAACCAAGAATCAGATGTGAAAAGTCCTGGGTGACTGGGAGGTGGTTCAAGCCCTCTGCTTGCTCCAGGCCTTGGTTTCCCCTTCTGTCTAATGGGGGCGTGTAGGAAGGTACCCAGACGCTCAGGAGAGCTGCTGAATCGAGCCAGAATTGTTGTCGCTGCTTTATTCATCCAGCCACTGGGGACTGGATCCTGGGCTATGTAGGGAGAAGTGACTACACCGGGCCCCCTGCCCTCAGACTCTTGGAGTTTCGGGGGGTAGGGGGCATAAAGAAAAAACCTCCACGACAATAGGACAGTGGGACAGTGTGAGGTGTATATGAAGTCAGAAGGCAGCCAAAGACAGCCCCTTGCCCCTGAAGAAAGGCCGGTTGGAGACAGAGGGGTCGCCTCCCACACGAAGGCTGGTGGGTTCCCGACAGAGGGCACAGTGGGGGCACGGGCACGGAAGCCGGAAGGACGCACGTGCTCCCTGACAGGGGTCCAGGGTGGTGGCGGGCTTGGCGTGACTGGCCTAAGGTGGGAAAAGGAAGAAGATGGGGTGAGGCTGGGAACGTGGGAAAGACCACCTCCTCTGTTCATGAGGATTACAGGAGATAACAGTTCGAAAGCCCTCCACGCAGGGCCCGGCCCACCCTACATATCAACACGTGTTAAGGGAGAGGTGATGTCAATGAAAACAAAAACAGTAATAATAGCGGCTGTGTGGGGGGGTGCTGTGATGAACTGGGCGATTGGGATTGACATGTATACACTAATATGTATAAAATGGATAACTAATAAGAACCTGCTGTATAAAAAAATAAATTAAATAAAATTCAAAAAAAAACCCCCAAATAATAATAGCGGCTGTTCTCTTTCTCCCCAGCATCAACCTTCTCCAAGGGTGAGAGTCAGTGGAATTGAAGGCAGAGAGCTGTCTGTGCTGGCCTGTCTCTCTCTCTCTCTCTCTTGCTTTTTCCTTTAAGATTGTTCTTCTGGGTTCCATGTGGGGAGGTTTTCTCAAGCGGGTGGCAGGCTGATTGCAATCTTTTCTGTAGCGCCTGAATATCTTCAATTGTCCACAAAGATTCTGTTTTATTCTAGGGACCCGCCTTTTGCTAACTTCTTCCTGCTTTCTTTACAAAACAGTTTTTTGTCTAACATTGAAGTATCTAGAAAATAATGATAAATGGAGGAGAAACAAATGAACGTCAGAGGACAAGGCAGGGAAAAGTAGCCCCGATGCAAGCATTCGGTTTGCTTCCAAAGCTGAAGCCCTTCCCACCAGCAACCTCAACAAGGAGTCTTAGCAAACACCTGCAGGGCCATCAGTCAACAGGAGACCGTCACTCACAGGCTACCCTCCCCGTGGAATTTTCCTACTCTCTCTTAGAAACAGAAACACGCTCTTCTCTGGGGGCTCTACCCAGCAGCCTGAGAGGATAGCTCCTCGCCAGGTGGGCTTAGCCTGCTGGCACTGGGCAGAGCCGGGCGGCTGGAGCCCTCCCTCACGGCAGCTGTGTCTCCAACCCCAGCTCCGCCCTGAAACACCCAGATTCAGTAGGTCCAGGGTGCGGCCCAGGAGGTAGCATTTATAGATGCTCCCAGAAGCTGCCTATGGCCTTTGGGTAGGCCAGTGGTGCATGAACACCAACCTAAGAGGCTGTTAAAAGGCCAGGTCCCGGGCCCCATTCCCCAAAGCTCCAAGCCAGTGGGTGTCAGGTGGAGCCCAGGAGTCTGCATTTTTCACAAGCCCCCGCTAGGATTCTGAAGCAGATCACGTGAGGACAGAGGTGGGCTGGAGGGAGGGTGGGTTCCCATGCAGACTCCCATTCAGGAGGCCTGGTGTGTGGCCTGAGGGTCCGCATTTTCAACAAGTCCCTGAGGGGAGTCTGTGCTGCTGCTCTGGGGACCGTCCTCTGGAAGCCACTGCCCTGTATTTCAGACGGTCTTTTCCTTCCTCTCAGTGCGCCCTCTGCTTCATTCACAGCAAGCCTGATAAACCAATGCTCTCTACTGGACTTGCATCAGTTACTGCAGTGTTTCTGAAACCATATTCCTAAACATGTGAGTTCCCATAAGACATCATATTCAATATATTGTGTACGACGTCTCCTCCAGCAAATGAGTTTGGGGAAGAAAAATGCTCCCCAGGCCAGGGGTGCAGGGCCGGGGTGAGAACACTGGTCCTGCAGCCTCCGCCTGGCCTCCCCACACCTCCCCCTCCCCTGCCCAGGGGAGCAATGGGTATGACAGCAGACCCCACTCTGGAGTCAGGACAGCCCTAGGAGTTAATTCAAACAAAGCTCCCCCACGTGCTCCTCCCCCAAGGCTGATTAGAGTCAGGATGGGCCTTCCAGGTCTGCAAGTCATCACGCACTTCAGCGGACTCAAGACTCTGAGACACTCAGCGGCAGGAGACGGTGGGGGGGGGAGGGCGAGGGGGAGGGGTTTTTCCCCCAGTGTTTGGGCCTCAGGACCCCCCAACCCAACACCACTGTCTTTGTAATTTAAGTTGTCACACGTGTTTGCACGGAGCAGTTTCAGGAAGTACAGCAAGCAAGTGCTGGGTTCTGGAAGTCTCTCCCGAGAGCAAAATCTGCATCATACTCGGACCTTCTGAGACAAAGGCAGGTCCCCGTGATGGACATTTCAGAACTATTGCAAGGACCGTGGCTGGCCTCTGTCAGCTCCCTGCTGTGCTGAAGTACCCTGAGTAAGGGGGGAATTGGAGAGGTCTTTGAGAGGTGTGAGCACAGCGCTGAGGAGTGGAACTTCTCCCAGCGTGGGTCTTGGGTGGGTCTGTCCATGAAAGGTCACTGGTGACAAAGGATCTGTGCTGAAGTCTGAGCGTAAAGGTGAGCCAGGCACACTCAGCCACGTACAGGGGCACCCTGGCCCTATCCCGCCAGGCTGGGAACCGATGGGGCTCTGGCCAGGTGTGGCAGGCCGTTACTGATGCAGTGTCCCCTTTAACCGTCGCACAGTTACTGGGTGAGAAGCCACAAGTCGCTTGCTCTCAGATACACACTTGCCTTGCCCCTCTGCTGTTGTCTAGACCCTGACTTCCTTCAGTCCAAGGCAGCACGCTAACCAGCAGGCCCCCCAACCCAGGTGCAAGGGTTCCAGGGGAGGCAGGGCTGTGCTACAGCTCTCCTGCTCTCCTGCCCAAGTTGGCCCTGACCTTGGAGCTCAACAGTTCAGTCAATCTTCTTCCCCCTCCTTTGCAGCATATTTCTTAAACCAGAACTAATGTATTCTGGACACAGAGCTCTCCAAACCAAGACAAAGAAAATTTGAAATATCTGAGCAAACAAAACCACTTTTCTTAAAATCTTCAAACCAAAAGGGAATGTGCAGAAACATTTACTCACTTTCCAAGCTGTCCATATTTTTCACTTGATGAGCCCTTAAAGAGGTGTTCCCCCAGTTCAGAAATCACCCAAGCAGGCACCGCCTGGCCTGTCCGGCTAGAGCTCCTGACCGCTCTTCTGCGGGGGAATTTCTGCCTTTTCTTCTTGGGGCCTCTAAATTCTTCCTTGGCTTCTCAGGCCTAACAGTGTATTTTGATGCACAAACAGGAATTAGCCCCTTCCTTGGTCCTTAAGGGTCCACCACGGCCAGGGCCCAGACCTGGAGCTTTCCCTCACCCTGGGTGTCGATGCAGCCTGCAGGCCCTCTCTCTGCGCTTTCCGCTTTCCTAATGGGCTGGTCTCTCAGGGCTAATTCCTGGGAGCCCCAAAGATGTGCAAGGCCAGGAGGTGGGCCTGGGTCAGGAGAGTTAGTGGGAAGACACCTGAAGCATACAGGACGGATGGGGGTGCCTACCCCCACTGTGGGCCCAGGCAGGGAGCTGGACTAAGGCATCTGGGTCTCCCCATCCCGAAGGCGTACCCATAGTTTGGGATCTGGGACCACCATCCCTTGTTCAGACCTCACAGCTCCCCCCGCCCCTTTTTCCCCGGTAGACTTTGTGTCCTCGGCCCCTTCGGCTGACCCGGGTTCTAGATGCCCTGTCCGGGCCGAGTGGTAAGGTGGGGCGCGGCGGCTGGGCGGGGACGCGGGGTGCGCGGGTGCAGCGCGGAGGGCGCGGCGCCTTTAAGGCCCGCGTCAGGCCGAGCGAGCGCAGGGGCCGGGCGGCGGGGCGGGGCCTCGGCGGGGCCGCCGCTCGGCTTCACCTGCAGTTCCGAACGCGCGGAACAGAGGCGCGGGCGGCTGAGAGGCCGGCGGACGCACCCGCCCGAGGGAGCCCGCCGCCGGCCGGACTTGGCCTCGCTCCCGGAGCCGGGCGGCAGTCGCGGCGGCTCAGCCTGGCTGGAGGCGCTGGGCCCGCTTGAGCGGCGGCGGCAGCGATCGGAGCGGCGCGATCGGGGCGGCGGCGGGGAACGGGCTCCGGGCGCCAGGCATCGGGCGGGCGCCGGGGCGCGGCGCGGCGGGGAAGATGACCGTGGGCTCCGGCGTGCTCCTCGTGCTGCTCTCGCTCTCCGGCGCGCTCCGGGTAAGTTGCGCCTCGCGTCCGGGCCGCTCGGCAGCCCAGGCAGCGCGGGGCCGCCCCCGGAGCTGGCGGGGCGCGCACTCGCCCGGCGGGGCTTTCCCGGGCTTCCCCGGCCCGCGCCGGGCGTCCCCGGCGCGCGCACCGCTGCATCCAGCCGGCTCCCGCGCTCCGCGGAGCCGCCTGCGGTCGGCAGGAGCGAGGAGCCGCCGGGTCAGCGGGGAGCGGCGGTGCGTTGCGGAGTGCGGGACGCGGGGAGCTCTGCCCGAAGCGGACCCGCCGAGCATTCCTCAGCCACCCCAGGTCCGCGGCCGCTGCCCCGGAGCTTGGCTCTCCCGCGCTGGGGCAGGCTGCCCGCTGGCGGAGCCGGCGAGCCCTCCGTCGCCCGCTCGCCGCGCTCCTCCGGAGTTGGCGAGCCCAGCCCGGGCTAGGGCTGAGGACGAGGGGAGCTGGCGGCGGCCGGCCGGAAATCAGGGTGTTGGGGACACCCGGTCTGGCCGCCCCTGCTGGGGGCCGGTGCTCCCGGCGCGGCGCCGCCTCCGTCCTCGTTCTCTGGGTGCTGGCAGGAGCCGCCGCTGCTGGTGGGCGGCGGATGTGGACCGAGGGGCATTCTCGGCGTGGACTTCCAGCGGCGCCTGCTGCAGCCAGTGTTCGGCGGGGCCCTCGCGTCTCGGAGCGGGGCCGGAGAGCCAGGCGCCAGGCAGGAGCAGGGTGAGGTGCACCCGGGAGCGCGGTCCGGGCGCCCGCCTTCTTCCTGCGGAGCCCCGCGAGCTCTGTCCCCAGCCCTGCGCTGCGCCTGCAGGGTGCAGGTCCCGAGGGCAGCGTGCAGGCTGCGCCGGGGGGCGCCCCTAGGGTAAGGCAGCGGGGCCGCGAGAGTTGCAGGAACCCCCTCTCGTGGCCGATCGGCCTCGCTGCTCCTCCAGGGCCTCGCTGTTGTAACCTCGGAAATAAACAAGTGCCCGCGGCCGGAGGCCCGCTCTGCGGCTCGGGGCGCTTGGGTGCGCTCGACCCACGCCCGGGCGGGTGGAAACTTTCCTGGGCGAGTTAGGTATCCCCGGGCTTCGGTCCTATTTGGAGCTTCGTTCCCGAGGCACGGAGCCGCGGTGTGGAGCTTTACCCGAGGAGTGACCCTCCGCCCTGCCCTGCCTCCCCTTGGTGCTTTTTGATGGGGGCGCCGCGTCCAGGCCGGCGTGAGGGTCCCGGGAGCTGCGGGCTGGGGCAGCCTCCGGAGCCGAGGACGGGCGGGCGGCGGCGCGCAGGCCTGGAGGAGGCGGGGAGGTGCGTTCCGCTTGGTGGCCCCGCGACGGCGCGACTGCGGGGTTCGGGCTGCGCCCCTGCTCCTGCGCTCGCCGCGGGGCCGGGAGCTGTGGCGTTCCTTCTTCTGACGCGGGGCTGGCTTCCCGTCGCACATGCAGCCTCTCCCTCCGTTCCCCATCCCTACGCAGCTGACCTAGCTGCCACTCCCCGCAGCCTGGGAGGGGCTCTTCGCCCACCTCCACACTTCCCTGCCCTCCCAGCGATCAGGGTTCTAGACCTCCCACTGGGCAGGATAGCCCAGGGTGCGCCGGGGGACAGGACAGGAGGACACCCACCTTCTTTGGTCAGTTAGGGAAGCTCTGGCCTGGTTAGGCTGGAGATGAGGGCTCCAAAAGTGGACAAGCGTCCAAGAAGTGGAGGGTGGGTGGAAGCCTCGGCCGCCTCCCTGCAGCCTTCCCGAGAGCCAAGCTCCGAGGTGGAGCTGAGTCTTGGAGAATCTCCTTTCCTGCCCTGCCCCTCTCCTTCCTCCTGGCCACCACAGGGAGGAGAAGGCCTGCTGGCCCACCTCGGCCCAAGCCTGAGCACTGGGGTGGGAGGGTGACACGGCCCTGGCAGGAGCCTGCTCCCTTGGCCGCCCCTCCTCTGTGTCTGCATTTGCTAACTCCTGGCTCTGCTGCTGGACAGTCCTCAGACCTTCCCTTCTGCCACGTGTGGGTGAGGCCCTGACAGGCCCTCAGCCTCTCCATCCGCCGGCCCTCCCTCCCTGCTGCATGCCCCCTGTCCCCGGCCAACGTGGAGACCACAGGGGCAGACCCCAGATTATGTCTGGGAGGAGGCTCTGGTGGACCAAGGCTTGTCATAGCTGGAGACCTTGCATGCAGGAGGCCCGACTAAACGTGGGTTGGATGCAATTTCCGTGAACCTGTGTTTTTTCTGACCTCTCTTGTTTTTGTTCTCAGGCCCACAATGGAGATCTTACAGCCAGGGAGACCTGCAAAGCTGGATTCTCTGAAGAAGATTACACGGCATTAATCTCCCAAAATATTCTGGAAGGAGAGAAGGTCCTCAAAGGTAAGGCAGACATGTAAATGAAATGGCATACCATGCTCTGGATTAGGGAAACATTACCACCCACAGAAAAAGAGGCTCGGCTGGCTTTGAGCCAGGCTCTTTGCAAAAAAAAAAAAAAAATGGTGGCGAGGTCAGTGGAGGTGCAGCTCGGTCCACCTAAATGGCCTTTTGCATCACAGGTGAATGGTTCAGAATCCCTGTCATTTTTGAGTGAGGTGAATCATTTCCTGGGCAACAAACTGGAATTCGGATGTAGCGTCACCCAAATAATGTGCAGAGAGAGAGAGAGACCTTCTTACCAAGTATTTCTGTGTATGAAATTCTGGATTCTTAAATTATCCCTGCTTTGAAATGCATGATAAAGCAGACGATGTTGTTGGGGATGCAGTAAATAAGCCCACAGACGTTCTGTTCGCAAATGTGCCATGAGTTTTCATTACTGTCCCACTGACAGCACGGAAACACGTGCAGGAGGGAGCTGCCGGTTAGCTTTATTGTAACTGCAGGACGATATCCACATTTGTGATGGGGAAGTCAGAGGCAGCTTCAGAACTCAAATGACAATTGATCATTCTGCATATCGACCTGTTTCCCTCTCAAGACAAACTAACTAACCTTTGTATTTGCATGGGAGGGGAAATAAATCAGTTCTTCCTTCCTTGAGGTTTCAAAGTGGCACCACAAACACCTCGGCGCGTGCCTTCCCTCCCCGCATCGGCTTCCCAGAAGCGGCTGTGTTTAGCCGATTCCAAAGTGATGGAGGGAACAAACTTTAGTGGAAGCATCAAAGCTAAGTTTCAATATTCAGGGCAAAATCATGCTCAGGCTGCTGACTTCCTGCCCAGTTTTCTGTTTTAGGGAATACAGCGTCCCCGCCACGAGCACCAACAGCAGATCCTTCGTGTGCGGGGGAACGCTCACAGAGTTGGTTGATTCTTCACATCCTGTCTGTGGAGACAGCTCGTTGACCTACTGTGTGTGCCTGGTTATGTTAATCAGGATCTTACTTTGCACCGAGTCCAGCTTTTCTAACTTATTTGTTGTCATCTGAGTTGACTATTAATATAGGGGTGTGATACTATTGACTCTTTCATTGATTATCAAAAAACAAAAAACAACAACAAAAAAACCCAACCTCTTGGCAGTTGGCCTAGAAGCGGGCTGGGTATGCTGTGGGAGTGAGCATCTATGGTAAGAGTTTTCAAGAGATGCTTTGTTAATTGCACAGTGTGTGTCATTTTAGACCGCCTTTCAGGATCTGTGGGTTTATGAGAATCCCTGTGTGTGCACAGAGAAGGCCCGGAAGACTCTCTCACTCTCAGTGCAAATCAGGGGCGGCTTGCTGCAGTCCTGCTGTTTGTGTGTCCTGAGGCTGGCATCCTTGCCACCTCCCCAGTATGCAGCTAAGCTTAAGATCTTGGCATATCAATTTTACTCAGGAATTTAAGAAAAAGTACCTCTATTTTTGTAACAGCAGGTGCTACCTACTATGGAAGAGAATGACAGATGATTCTCTTACTTTTCTTAATAAAATGTAAGATTTCCGACTAGCATCTCCTCTCTCTCCTGGTGCACTGTGCGGGTCCAGGCTGACCTGCCCTCTGCTCCTAGCCCATGTGATGGGGAAGCCTTGGTCACTGGCTGGATGCTGGCCTGCCCCGTGTGCCCCAGGAGTCCATCATCGTACGTGAACTTGGACCAGCTCATGGACTGTGTGGATGCAAGACTCATATTCTCGGCACTTACTTATACCCGCGATGAGGCCCAACCCAAACCTGGTTGAGGGGGAAATCACAGAGTATCTCCCTCACCTGCGTGTGCCACTCCCTCTGTGTTCTCAGGGACAGAGAGGTTTTATCTTAGAAATAATTTTACACATATGGAGGCAAAAGCTACCACTGCATACACTCAAGCCACGGCAGATAAAAACCTTTGTTTATGTAGAAAACTTTGCAAACGACAGGACCACAGTGAAGATGCATGTGTCGAAAATAAGTAAGTGGCCCAATATTTCTGTTATCCTGGTAGGAATCAAGTTAAATAGATAATGACTACTTACAATTGAGTTATGCCAGCGGAGAGAGCTTAACCTTAATTTGACAAGCAAAGCTTCACAGAGTCCCCGTTTTATTCTAAATGCGCCATAAGCCGTTAATGACCGCTTTGCGGTTCCTTCTCTTTGCCGGAGTAAGCTCACCGGCAGCCCCAAACATCCAGGCTCCAGAAGGAGAGATTTGTTACACAGTAATTAACTTGTTTATGATAAATGGATGGAAGAAATGTTGTGGCATTTTGTTTTATGTCTAAATGAAAAAGCATTTGCATTCAAAAAATTTCACGCTAATTAGGCTCCAAACAGTTTTCCCCAGTAGGGTAGCAGATACTATGGTATTGGGATCCTTTTGAATGGCGGGCAGAACCGCTACGTATGCCGTCTGGAGTGTTTGTTTAGCTGATCTGTAGTTCCTAGATCCCCTCCACGTTGTGTTTCCTGTCTGTGCTCCTCCTGGCGAGCACTCGAATGTAACTGCACACACTCTTACACCGTGGTTTGTTTCCAGGATCATTCACTGATGGCCATGATCACTGGTGCATGGTAATATCTAAAATAGGATGGTTGAGCCCTTTTCCTTCCGTGACAACAGAGCGTTCTCTACACCATAGTTTAGCATTGGGTAGTGGCTAAGCTGGTGTCTTTTTCTCGGCTTTGTTAATAATTAACGGTCAGCCCGGCCGTAGCTGATGCACTGACCTGCATCGCTCTCTCATGGCGGGCAGAGTTCCGCGAAAACCCAGACCAGCTTCAAGGTAAAACCCCACAAGGATGGGAGATTGAGGGGCGGCTTTGTGGGAAACCAGCATGGATGGGTCGTATCTGTCCTCGCTCCTGGAGAAGAGGGTGATGTGTGTGAAAATGTTGTCTGCCAGGGCAGGGGAAGAGGGGTCTGGACATTGCCCCTCGAGTTCAGATAATACAGAAAGAGGTGCTTTGTTTCTGATGACTTCATTTACTGAGACTGCCTCAGAAAAGCCTTCCCTCTCCCATATCCCAGTGAGTTTATGACCATCTTGTGCCCTTGACCACACTTTGCTTTCTCATTGGAGAATTTATATTATCTGGTCAATCATCTTTCTTACTTAAACTGTAAGGTTCATGAGGGCAGCAGCCCCGTCACTCTGGTTTAACATTTAGAATGTCCTGGGCCAACAGGATAAAACCCAATTAACAGAATCTTAAATGAATGGGGTTTAATTTTTCTCACATAACCGTGAAGAGGCAGGTAGTCAAGGGCTGATCAGGTCAGTGGCACCATCTCACGCCTAATCTTTATTCTTATCATTCTACCATCTTTAGTTTGTCAGTGTATTGCCTGATCATCGTAAACTGGCTGCTGTGGCTCCAGGCATTGCATTTGAGTTCACAGCAAGCTAGAAAACAGGGGGGAGTAGTAGCACCATCTGCATCTCTTCCCTGTATCAGAAAAGCAGACACTTTCTCAGAACCCTTGCTGAAGTTCTCACTGGCAAGGACTAGGTCACATTCCACTCCCAGTGGAGACAGGTGGGGAGGCTGGGACGCAGAGAATTGCAAAGTCTGACTTAGACCTGTTATGATCCATCACCTGGTAGATGAGTAAATTGCTACTTGGAGCAGAGTTGGGGGTCTTAGGAAGGAAGAAGGGAGGAATGGGTACCGAGGAGACAAGCATCAGTGTCTGCCACATAAAGGTTTCCCCAGCTTCCAGCACCCTACCCAAAGCAGAGTAACAGGCAATGCCTTGTAGAACGAATGGCTCATTTGTGTATCAAGTCACACAGAGGGAGGGATGGTTGAGGAGAGACCAAATGCATGCAGGGGTCTGGAATCGGCATCTAAGAAATTGCCACAGTGTAATGACTGTGGCCAGAAGTACCGCTATCTTGTCTTTACAAGTATGTTGAGAATAGCCTCTTTACCCTCCTCTGTGAAGACAGGTAACACTCTTGCCAGGGTGGAAGGTGTCGCTAGAGGCATGGACCAGACGCTGAGCAAGTCTGACTGCACACCTATCACCCAGTGTCATGCCTGCCTTGTGGGGCCGTGGGTGTGCAACCAGTGTTGTCAAATGAAGTCATGAATGAGCCAGAAAACGCTGACACTGTGGTGTTTCTGAGTCCCCTCCGTCAACTCACAGATAAGCGGGAGCTGCTCGGAATGTTCAAATAAATGGCACGCACGACAAAGCCACCATGTGTGCTATGAATCACTGGACACTGCAGGTTGCCTGTCCAGTATCCATTCTGTCCCTCTTCCTTACTACCGGAACCTCTTCCTTACTAATGAAACCTCTTCTGTCCTGATCTGGTTGGCTCACACTGAGCCCTGTTTAATATACTCACACCTCTGGTAGACTTTTACACCAAGGTGGCAATATGGCCCTTTTCTGGTCAATGGGATCTGACTAGGTTTTTCTGTTAGATGAGACTTGTGGGAAAGCTGTTTTTTTCATGGTAAAGAGTAACAGACTCAGCTGGCCATGCCTTCTTTCTTTTGCCCTTACCTTTTTCTCCTGCCTGGAATATGGATGTGATGTCCGGGGCAGAGCAGCCATCTTGTGACTGTGAGGATGGTGGCGTGGGAACTGGATCTCAGGTGGCAACCTTGAAAAACTGCAGACTTTCACTGTCCCCTGAGAGATGAGAAAAATAAGGATAAAACACCACAGTCGAGTTTCTTGTGACGTGCAGCCTAATGCAATCCCTACCTTTGGGAAAGCAAGAGCTGTGCATGCTAGCAGGTGCCTGTCTTTCCCTCTGGAGGCTCAGAGCATGTTTCATGCTCTGCCCTGAGCCTCTATCCATCCTTTGTTTCTTGGGCCTTGGCCTTAACTCTTGCCCTAGCGGCCTTCTGCTCCTTTGTAAATTAGTATCCACGTCCAGCACACTGGATTGCAGAGAGCATGTCTGGGCACTCGGTACATATTTGTTGAACAGAGGAAATGAATAGTCACCACTTCAGA